GCAATCTGGTGTGCCACGACTTTATGCTGTTGGTGGCGGTGACCAAACGAAAGGTGGAAGCGAGTGGTCGATCAGGGCGAGGCGTGCACGAGGGAAAATTCGACGCCCACGAGGGAGTAAAAACTCGAGGGTCGGGATGTCGATGAGAGAAATTGGGGTTGAAGCTCGCAATCGAGCAGGTCGGATGGTTTAGTCGTTTACCAGACAGAGCTGGTAGTTGACGGTGAGGAGTGGTGTGTGGGGTGTTGGTGGCAGTAGTTGTGGTGTTGGAGGAGAGGAAGAGAGGAAGAGAAAAAGGTCGGGACGCACGAAGGGGAGAAGGAAGGAGACGTCTAAGAGAAGGGGAGCCGAAGGGATGGATGGGCGGGCTCCAGAGTCTGGCGAGGCGAGGCGAGGCGAGAAAGCTCGGGCCAGCGATTGACAGAGCGGGCAGCACGCAGCACTGCCAGTCCAGTGACGGCACCTGGGGCTACGGAGTACAAGTCGACCATTGACCAGTAAACTACCTGCCTACCTGGGTACCTAAGATGGGGTTCTGCTAGCACGCCAGCGGAGGGCACCGACATAGAGTACCTATCTAGGAGGTACCCAATGCATGCAGTAGGTCCAGGTCTGGTAGGAGGTCCGGAGCAGGCGCTGAGCGGGAATAATCAAAAGGAAATCCTAAAGGGCGCGCAACTCGTCAACTCCCAGACGGTCGGGAGCTGGCATAGACCATGCCATCAAATGGGCTTGGGCAGATGACCACGGCAAGCAGCTGGCAAAGCACTGGTGCCACAAAGAAGACGGCCAGTTTGCCACAGACTCGGCACAGGGGGTCAGTCAACTCGAGGGCTCGAGTGACAAAAGCTGACGTCTGGACAAGGACGGCTGACACAGCAGCAGATGATCAATGATCAATCATGGAACCAGCACATGCAGCGAGTGCCAGAGGGCCGCTTTGGGGGTGGCAGGAAGGCTTAAGCGCTGAAATTGGGTCCTGGAGCATGCGCGAGGAGGCCTGGGTGCTCCATGTCTTGAAATGTCAATCGGGTTATCAATTGATCAGACCGCCAGGCCCAGGACGGCTGGACTCCAGCACCAGCCTGGCCCGGTACCACCATGGTTCTAAGATTAGCTCTACCGGGCTGCTGGAGCGGCTACAACGTTGGCAACGTCCAATGCTGCCCAGACCGCCTGCTCAGATGCCTGTGGGTTGCGCATGGATGCAGCCCCCAAACAAGACGCCGTCAACCCATCACCTTGCCGCGCCGCTTCCCAAGTCCAAGTGTCAAGCTGCCCGCTCATCAGGGGTGTTGTTCAGATGCGCTGCTGGGTCGAGCGGCTCGTCGTAATCTCAGCGTTCGAGATGCTCCCTCTGCCTTGCCAATGCCAGACTGACTCGGTCGACGACTTTGGAGACGACGGGAGACGGCCAGCCGCTTGGGCTGACACGACCAAGCCAATGCCCAACAATTGTCAGCATCAGCATCAGCATCAGCTCCAAGCGAAATCATCAAATGGCAGGCTCAATTACTCGGGCGGAATGGTATTATTCTGTCTTGGGGTTCGTCAGGAGCTTCAAACACGTCAAGCCAATGACTCGTCTTCAGGTTCACGTCTGTGCCCGAGTCCTCAGTCCTCCTCATGTTGGGCAGTTCCCCAGCTCTAGTTCAACCACGACCGTCTTTGAAATCGCCAAGGAGGCAAGGCGTGTGTAGCAGCCCAAGTGTGGATCGCGGATCATCTGCTCCCTTGCCCGTTTTTCTGCGACATTGTGATAATGCTGTGTGCATACTCGGTGCTCCGCATGTATGCACATATGTACAATAAGGACGCCCTTCAGACTACCGAGTCACAACATGAGATGTCTGTTGAACGTCTAGTCAAGTTGTCGGGTCAGTCGGCGTTGGACTGCAGCCGGTTGTCAAGATACATTGCTCAACCACTTGGGGCATGACGATGTTCAATTCCTCTGCCGCGTCTCCCGCGCCCTGGACCACAACCAAGGATGGCTCGCCTTTTTAACAGGGCGTGTGGCGGCCGCTCCTTTCATAGTCGCTGTCACCCCAAGCCCCTCTCGCTAGTCCACGGTCGAGATGGTTGGTCAAGTGTCACCAGTCCATGATAATGATGACGATTTTTGGCGCCCGCGGACGGCGTGGCTGTCCAAGTTGGTCCATCCGCCGACCTGTCCGCCCGTTCCAGGCGGTTCAGCAAACATTTCCAAAACGGAAATGGGGCTCAAGTTGAACACGACTACGAGCGGCGACGGGGATGGGTTGGGCGGCGGCGCCCTCCCGGCCTGACTGCCTCCCGTAATATCTTCAGTACGATCCAGGCGTGCCCTCGTCTCCACCAGGCTGCGACATATAATATTATCAGCGAGTTGCAAGATTCAAAGATGCCGGGTTACGCGGCTATCCTTGACACAGGGATTTTCTAGATGCGACACACGTGAAATACAAGTCGGTTGATGCCCTAGGGGGACGCATGAAAAGCTGCAGAGATAAAGTTGGCGTCAATTTGAAGCTTGAAGCCAAATGGCCAAGGAGTAGCCATCAATGCAACTTTTGCCTTCTCAAGTCGACGGAACCTTTGAGGGCATGACGTTGGGCATGCGATATCAGGCGACTCCTGGATGGCCCGGCTTGAAGGCAGCCCTTCTCTCGCGCTTCATGCCGCTTGTGCAACGACAAATCTTACTCGCATTACCGAGTAACAACTGTCATCAACGGACTCCGACATTTGCTGTGGCCGCACATATAAATACATACATATATACGTGCTGTAATGTGGCAGTCAGGCAGCTGTGCTTGGCAGAACGGAGTGCTCAGCCGTTTAGTTTGATACCACGAGTTGAGCATTCGTCCCTGCCATCTATCTCCGCGAATGTTGACACCGGATTGCAAATCAACCCATCGTCGTTTATCGCCCCACGCCCTTCGGTGCATTCCGTGAATGCCCTCCCACCTCCCGACCGAGATGTACGTATTATGTATGTAATGCATGGAATAGTATTCGGAACTTGCGCACCAAACCGCCAAGACTTTATGTCTGATTCCGACGCAATAATACAAGTCAGTCCGAGGACACACTCGCCAAGTCCGTGGTAATAATCCTGATCTTCGAGTCCACCATCAACGGGGCCTCCATTTTTGCCACCAAATTAATTAATAATGGAGGCCAGCAGAGGTACGGAGTATTGCGAAGAATGCGTCGCCACTAGCATTGTAAATGGGAGCGTGGCAGCAATGTCGGGTTTGCCGTCGAGTCGTTGCCCACCAATACGGGCATAAAGGGAGAGCCCGACCTACGATTCTCCGAATCGCAAAATCGCGGCGAGAGCTCCGCATGCACGTCACCAGAGTCTGTCTACCAACCGCCAGCTGCTGCACAAGCTACATCTCTACACATGCATGCACTTGTCATAAATATCCCGGGCACGCGGTCGTCGTGCCTCCAATCTGGCCAAGTCCCCGGCTATTGCATTTCCCAACCGTGATGACAGCCCAAATAAACTTCACCCCTACTCTGGCTACCCGCGTCCTATGTCGGCAGATCGATCGGCCCAAGACCCAGTCCGCGCATTGCAAGGGGCGCCTTGGCAATCTCTGGCTCTTTCCAGACGTCAGAATAGAATCACTTGATGGAGCGCCCCGCGCCCGTCTAAATGCAGAACAAAGGAGATTTGCTACGTCCGCACGGGACTTCCCCCGTCCTGAGATGAGCACCTCCTGGTCATTTCTTTTGTTCATGCACCGATTGTGCTTCGGCGTAAGCCAGCCAAGTCGCTGTCAAGGTCGGTCCGTTGCGGCTTGGGTACGGGCGTCGGCCCCCGCGGCCCACCCCCCCCCCGCTAAAAATACGTTGGAAAAAACATTGAATCTAAAAGAACACCGCCAGAGCCTAACGCCTAGTATTTTGTCCACATCGTAACAAATCGTTCCTTCGGTCTATTGACCATATTAACGCTTGAATTGTTTCGCTCATTAGTTAAGTGAAATTACAAGCATGATACGAGTATCATGCAAGCGTAAAATCTGATAACACAGTATCGGGCAATAAACCTTGTTAATTCTCAACTTTTCATCTTTTGTAGATCGCCATGAGGTTTAACATATAGGTGTACGAAGAAAAAAAAAACTTAATATTCGTCGTATTATTGTCAGGCTTCATAGGAGCCTGTTGCCAAATGCTGGATGGTTGTCATCATCGGCGATGGTTCACTGCTACTGCTCTGCTCTGATATACAGTCTGCGGAAGAACAGATTTGCGAGCCAACAAGTATACACGCATACAATGTAGTATAGGGACTTGAAGAGGTCCAGAAACGTCTCAGCGAGACCAGGCGTGACATTGACAAGGAGGATGAGGAGACAATAAGGTTGACCAGTGCCATTGAAGACACCTCTAGGAACGATCTATTAACTTTCTTTTTGTTTCCCTCTCAAGTCAAATAAGATCATAAGCATGATACAAGGATCGTCAAGCGTAATATCTGATAACACAGTATTAGGCTATACCAAGCCAAGAACAGTAAGAGACCAGAGAGATAGACCGTCTATACGCGCATCGTGACGCGTCAGATATACCAGCGTAATTAGTGCTGCGTCGCGGCCCGCTAGCTAAAGCCATCTCGCAATAGCCTCAGCCAATGTTATTATAGAAGTAAATCTTATATATTGTAGCTTAAACCTACTGACTTTGTGCTGGTGAGAGTCACCCCGAAAACCTGAAATGCCCACACACGCAGTATACATCTGCAAGGTCTCGTCCGCATTCCAAATCGACCCTGTTAGGAACGGCCTATACTTGATGACTAGAACCGCTTCCAGCTCACAAAGGCGTAGAGCCAAGCCCGACGTTGAAGACATGAACGATGCGGTGGTGGCTTCAAGACAGGAGCTGTTTGAGAGCGAACGAAGGAAAGCCAGACTGTGGGGGAAAATGGCCGATTTAAAGGGGAAGGCGGAAGAAATCAAAGGGCGACTTAACTAGCAAACGGTGTACGTTGCTTATCAATGCAGTAAATGTTTAGTATTGGCAAGATACTCCTGAATTTGCTGACCCTGGACGTCCTCAACAAGAAGGCCTCTGTCTTCTAGATATTGCGTATAGCGCTTAGATTTCTCAATTTGAAGCTCAACCTGCTTCACGAGACTCACATTATCTGAATGGTCAAAAAACTTTGCAATCTCTGCATCCCTGTCCGCAAGCGGCCCGAAGAGTATGCGGAAGAGAGACGAGCAATATACGCCCATGAGACTGGAAGGGTGACGTAATATCTGGGCAATAGTTGGGAGTCTTTGAATGGAGGTCTCTTCTTGTCCAGCCTGTCCCTGTTGATATCCCCACTCGTGCCATAACTTTTCCGAAATGCTGCGTGTTTCTCGCTTATTTTGCAGGACGTCGCGGAATTCGGCAAAAATCTCATCACGAAAGGGGCCACGCACAAGTCCACGCATAACCCGCAGTGTATCGGGGTCGTGACCGGTAACCCACGGCGGCGGTGTGAATAATTGGAGTGGGATTGTGCTTGTGAATTCCCAGTCTATGATGCCGAGGATGTGGAAGTCATCGTCAACAAATATATTGCCGAATCGTAGGTCTGGATGTGCCAACACGAATGACGGACTGGTCGGCATCGAGCCAATGCATTTAGAAATTTCTTCGGATAAACTGTCAAGTGCGAAGAGTTCCGTCTTAGCATCCCTGTAAGACAAGTTCTCCACGGGAAATTGGTACGTTTCTGTCAAGATACTATGGTGGTAATCCACAAAACGCCCCAACGATGTGAAAACCTCCTGCCGCAAGGACCTCCCGCTACTCCTTTCAAACTCGTTTGCAGTGATGGAAAGGAATGGGCCAAGAATGGGACTGCATTTGTCGTCTTCTGGGTTCGGCATCAGCGAACCGCCAGCAGGAAACTCGAGTTTACGTAGCTGTGATAATATGTCTATAAGGTCGGTATATAGCCGCTGCCGCTGTGCTTTTGTTGCGCATAAGAACGTCTTTGTATGAAGTTTCTGCCCGGGGATAAGGTCCATGATTATGAAAGGCGTTTTAGCACCTTGAATGATTTCATCGTGGATGCCGTATGTGAGGACTTGAGGAATGGGAATCGTTGTATTGTCCTTGATATACCTATGCAGCACAGTCAGTTGTCGAAGAATTGATGGCGGAGAGATGGAAAGGGGTTCTGCTCACCGTAGCGTAGTCACTTCGGAGAGGACTTTTTGCCAGGCATGGCGAACCACTGGTTCAATTGGAATCCTTATGACCTGTGTTTTGCTGTCGGCATCAAAACGAACAAAGAAACAGACATTAAAGCTGCCATTGTCCTTGGTGATAACTTTGCATGTCTTTCCGCCGTTGTGTTTAGATGCCAAATCACAGACGGCATCTAGATTTATAGAATCAATAAACTGCTGGATAGCGCCCTCGATTTGCTGTTATATTGGTGGGCAGTATTCCAACGGAACCTGGTCAACTTGGTCATTGACAGCATGTACATCTGCTAAAGTGGCGTTTCCTTCTTTACTCTGATGTTTATTCGAAGTAGATGACAGGCTGCAAGCAGTCAAACTCGGTTCCATCTTGACCTAGCAATCCGCAATAGAGGCTAGACAAGTAGTCCGTAAGTAAGTGACGACCACTGCGCCTTGATCATGCGAAGTGCAATAAATGGCATCATCCCAGCTGGGTAGTCTTGCGCAACCTGGTGCAAGCATCGTGCGTGGTTGCAGATGAACGGGATCAAATGACAACTGGCAACTGGCAGTAGCCAGCAAACAGGACAAAAGCAAGGGGTCTGGTGATGTCGATCTGGTTGAGGTTCTGGGGCGGTAGCTTTTGCAAGTACCAGACATGTACCTCGAGTGCTTCTCAACAGCACGTGGGTGGCCGCTTCCCCTGCGCCACGGATTCGACTCCTGCAACAAAACGCCACTGTCAGCCCAAACCATGTCAGCCCGATTCAACTTTTGACTCCAGATGTCATCCGTCATCAATCGGTGCCAATCCACCGCGTTACCGGCCGTATAGTTTTGGCCGCAACAATGACGAATTTACGGCTGATAGCTAGCTAAACGGCGGCTCATGTTGAATCAGCTCCCAAAAAAAGGCACACCTTTCCCATTGACGCCAATTACAACATGTCAGCCCCGAAAGTCGATTCGCCGGGCGTGCCCATCCAAACCACCCACTCGCTCACTCACAGTATAAAGAAATGATCATGCATCAGCATCCCCCGCGCCAATTGTCATCCATCCAACGGGCCTAGCTAGATACGCGTATTTTCACAAAACCCTGCCAGCCCATCTCTGCACCAAGAAAAGACACCAGCAGCAGTGGCAGCACGCAAGCCATGTGGCTCCAGGTCGTGCCCAGATTTGATTTGCCCTCAGAAAACGCGACGCCCAGCCAACATTTCACCGTCAAATCAAGCGGCTCTTAATACGGAAAAAGCCAGCCCGCTCTATTTAGCAGCGCAATTTCCTTCCCTTCCACCTACCATTTCGCCATCGTAAGCGACGGGTCGATGTTTTGGCGGCAACAAGCGCCGAAGCACCATGTCGGCATATCAGTAAGCTCGCCGTTTACCGCGCAAGGCACAGGCAAGAAAAGCCCGCCGTCCGGTAGTACGGCGTGGCGTAGAGACGAAAAGAAATCTAAAAAATAATAATAATAAAATCTTCAGTCCAACGCTGAATGTAGTCACGTTGCAACACCATATATCAGAAGACACGACGACGTACGCCGACCCATCACAGTGGAATATATATACTAAGTCTTTAAAAATTCAATACAGGCAGCTCAACCTATTCAAGAACATCCTTGATTTACGCTGCACAAAACCCCCCAAGACTAGGCCAATATCCCCTATCCAAATGACACTAGAATCCCACAACCACCATAGATAAATACACGACCCCTCAAAGAACCAACGAATCCAAAACGCCACGCTAACACAGCAACTTCAGAATCTCTACGGCGGCCCCCTCCACCCCGGAGGGGGAGGACGCGGCGCCGGCCCCCCCGGTCCCCAGGGCCCGGGCCCGTAGCCATATCCCCCCGGCGGCACCCCTCTTGTCTGCGGTCCGTGAGAATAGGCCTGCGGAGGCGGGCCCGGCGCGTATGCCGGTCGGTAAGGGGGCCCCTGGGGACCCTGGAGGACAGACTCGAGCTTGCTCTCGAGAACCTGGCTCGTCTTATCGAACCACTTCCTCGCGGAGCTCGCGCTGAACAGGGACGTGCTCGACGTGCCGCTGCCCAGGGGACGAGGCGGGTACGGCGGCGGCACCGGGTTGTAGTGGGTTTTCGGCGGCGGCGGGAAGTTGGCCGCGTTGGAGGGCCCGCCGCCGAACCCGCCGTACGAGACGTTTGGTCGCCGCGGAGGCAGAGGCGGCGGAGGCTTCCCCCCTGGAAGCGGCGGGTTTTGCTGGCCTGTGTATGCTGCGTATATCGGTTGGGGGGGGTAGGGAGATGGCGGAGGCGGCGAGTACGGGGGATGCTGTTGGCTTTGGGGCGTCGGCTGGGCGTCTGGTCGGCCACCTTGTCCGGGGTACGAGTACGACGGTGGAGGCGGTGAGTATGCGGGATGTTGTTGTTGTTGTTGTTGCTGCTGACCTTGGGGTGTTGTTGGCCAGGAGTCTGGTCCTTCTGGCCCGGGACACGGATACGCGGGCGGAGGAGAGACGGGCGTGTACCCGGTGTGCCATGAATCTGTGCGTGCGTGGGCGACTTGCGGTCTTGGTTGGTGCGGCAGTGGCGATAATGACGGCGATGGCACATATGTAGATTGCTGGATGTCGTAAGATGACGCCGGGGAAGGCGGCATTCCCGGTGAAGCCGTGTGATGCGGCGAAACGGGTGTCACGCTGGGCGATGGCTGAGCCAGCGGTGCTTGAGCGTGTGCCATGGCCACAGGAGGTGGTGATTGCGGCTGAGAGGTCGCCGTTGCTGGTGTGGGCGCTGCATCTTGTGCTAGACTGTGTGTCGACGCGGCAGGAGAATCGTCCTTCGGTGGTGGAGGTGGTGGTGGTGAGCACGGCTTGATAGGGGGACTCTGTCCGGGAGCCTTGTCCTCTGTGTCCGGCACAGCATCTGGCCGCTGCTTCGGGGGACTCATCGGCTCGGCATCAGAGCTGAACGGCGTATAAAAGTGATGTGGCGCCGTGCCCATCACACTCGGGGACTGGGCTGTCGTAGCCCCCGAGGCAGATGATATGCTCGGTGGCCGGTACGGCCTGTACGGCACGCCAGGAGAATGAGGACCTTGGATCGGTGGTTTCGGCGGTGCACCGGATGACGGACCGCCTAGTCCGACCGCAGAAACATCGTCTCTTCCAGGCGGCGGACAGTACGGCTTGATGCCAGGCGGCGGGGAGGCTGTTGCCATGCTGCTCGGGCGGGAGACCCGTAGAGGAGCTGGATACGGAGACGCCGTCTGCCCAGGATGCTTCAGCGACTCCTGCAAAGCCGCTTCATCAGAGCCGTTGCCCGAGCCATGTAGAGACTCCGTCTTCCGGAGCCCCTGCTGCTGCCGAACCCGCGGGTATACCGTCGCGCTGGGTGCGTCGTCGCCCGACGCAGGGCCATGATACGGCCATGGATTCGCCTGTTCCACCTCGCCCTCCTTTGCGTCCTCCTCCCTGGGTGCACCACCGCCAGCCGTCCCGACCTCTTGATCCAGGTAAAACGGCCACGGGTTCGCCTGCGCATTCCCGTCCACCTCAGTCGCCCTCGCCGGCCTCCGCCCCGGCTCGTCCCTCACCACCCGTGCCGGCGCCGACTCTGCCGGCATTTCAAAGGCGAGCCCGCCCCCGGGCGAAGTGACTGAGCCCTGGACAGGCGCCGTGTCGAGCTCGGCGACGCACAACGGCGGCGGGTAGCTTTCTCTGGCGCGGCGGCGAGCCATCTCTGGTAGGTCAACCCCGTCCTTTGTTTTCGGCTGTTACACTCGCAGATTATTTCAATGGTTGACGTTCGTGTTTTCCCCCCCCTTTGACCAAGCCGAACATGGTTTTTCTGCCTGGCGGTGGCGGCGACGTCGGCTTCGACGCTTGGGGCTGCAAAACGAGTCAAATCCAGCTCCTCGGCGTGCCTGTCCGCGCCTTCGGCCCTTGGTGCATCCTCGGGCCTCGCGGGACGGTTGGAAAATGTCGTCGTGTATCCCAGGCGTAACCTGGCGTTGGGCAGACGCATGGGTATCCATCTACCCAGTACGGAGTAGGCGGTTGAGCAGGCGCAGCAGACGAGACTGGCGCCATCAGACGTATTTGTATTTGCCCTAGGTTGCATCTCAGCCGCGCTAGTGCCGCCAGCAAGTGTCAACGATGGACCAGGACCCTCGTTGCCTCGTCTCCTCAGCCCTGGATTCTTGCCGCACTCGTCCATCCCCAGATTTTTTTTAGAATTTTTTTTGGCTGCTGCAGTTGCACCGATCCGATATGATCCTGGCCCCTTGTCTTGGGTCTGGGATCGCAGCCTTGTGCGAACTGCGGGCAGGGTGTCATTCCCTGGTCGTCCAACCCATGCATCGCGATCCTCCCGTATGTACGTATGTATGTACTTGTACCAAGCTCGTCCCATGTATGGAGCATCGAGTATACGCACATGTCATCTGTCCTGGTCTTCATAAACGGAGTGCCCTGTTGATGTCCACCGGCCGGTTCATCCATCACCTGCTTGTTTGTGTACCGTCAGAATCACCCCCGAGTTACTACTACTACCTTTCAGCTGCCGCGGAATACCTCGCCCGACCAGACCTGGCCTTGCTGCATCTGCCGCAGCCCACGAGGTTCATCCATGCTTGCTTGCAGGCAGGGCAAGGGAGTGAGTGGCACCGCTGCCACCACGTTTTCAGCTGCAATTCTATGTGGGCTATTTCAGCTACGTACCGAATATGTTCCTGAATACATACATACAAACGCCTCGTATTCAATAACACAATGCAGCAGCCCAGCTCAGCTATTCAGGCCGCAAAGGCCCCATGTTATCTTCACGTTGCACCTGTGATCCGCATATCCGAACATCTCGCCATATGTATTCACCTTATTATAAAATACTGATATCAATGTTTCAGCACCGGCAAAGCGTCCTGGCTGTCCCAGACTCCCAGTACACAAATTCTGCCGGCATATATACATCTCCCTTTTTGTTTTTTTTTTTTGGTTTCAATGTGTCCACTCTCATATCCAGATAGCCAGAATCAGCCAGTCCATGTACACAATAAAATATCCCACTATGTATAGTATAAACTATAAAAGAATAGACAATTGTTTCGCTCAAGGCAGGCAAGAAGAAATCCAGCAGTAGCCGCCATGAAGAATTTTGCCCTAATGGTGAGGGGGGAAAGGGGGAACAATGCGACTTTTCGTTGCGCTTCTGATTTGAGAATCGCAGAACATTGCATCGTCTATATTGACATGGTTGGATTCCATGCCAAGGCGACGAATGCCAAGCAAAACATCAACAATGGGGGGGAAACCACAATAGCCAAACCAACGCGCACAGGCTGGCTACATGTGCGAAAAAACAATGGGTGTTTGTCTAAACCAAGAAAGAAATGAACTTGTGCGCGTGTCAAGCAGCAACCAAAAAAAAAAAAAAAAAGAAGAAGAAAAGAGTAGAATCCAACAGTAAAGGGCGCAATGACAGACGATTAATCAAGTGCGAAATCATTCATCGTTGCTGGAATCTCCACGTCGTCTTCTATCGTTCCATCGTCGCTTGCCGGCCCGCGTCTCATAATGAGGTGCTATGGTTGTAACGTCCTGCATTGTGCCTTCAATGGCGGTTTTTATTTTACCTCGGTATGTATCCACTATTGAGGCAAAAGTTGTTAGTGACATGCATTGCGTCGCAACCCCAGCATCCAGCCTTGTAGGTCAAGGAATACTCACGAGCTCGCTGCAAAAACACAGTCCGGCCTGCAAACACACGGCTCTGAAGCCATGCCATGCGATAACCTAAGTCGTTCAACTTTACCTCCTTCCCGCGATACGACTTCCTCATCCTTGGCACATCGACCTCGCCATCCTGGCCCTCGGCCATGCTCACCTTGACTGCTTGGCTGCTTGACTTGGTTGTTCCCCGCCGACCAAGCTCCCGGCCTTCGGTCTCCTGGATTCCATCATCGGACAAGTCTTCGGTGAAGAATTGAGAACCGGTCGCGCTTGGGGGAGGACTTTGCATTTCACGTGGAAAGTAACTTCGAGGGAACACGCTGGCGCCTTTTCGGAAGCTGTCAGGAATCTCATTGGTGTCCACGCCGTCAAGAGTAACTCGAACTCGGAGCCTGGAGCCCCGCATGTTATCATCCACAAGAATGAACTTTCGCTTCTTCGCCTCGGGAACGTCAGGGAAGAGGCCCTCCGGTTCATCGACATTACCCCGACTATGCGATCGCGCGGGCATGGCATTGCCACCTGCTCGAGGAGCCATGTGAGACATTGGCCCGCCTTGAGCACTGCCAGGGTAGCCTTGACCAACATAACCAGTGAAGACGTGGGCAGGTCTCACATCATCTCCGCCGTGATGGCCCTGGCCGGTGGCATCTGGGTGATGATGGTGTTGATCTTCGTAAGCAGCGCCGTGGCCTCATTAATCTCAGTTAGCCCAAAGCTCTCTATCGTGGTTGAGTGAGACGAAAAATGTCTTGGAAATGAGGCAGGGACAACATGCGAATCGATATCGACGACAAAACAATGATGGGTTTTTTTTTTCTTTTTGTTTTTTCGCCTCTGTTTGTTTCTCATTCTTCTTCTTTGTCTCATAAAACAATGTTTTTGGTGGCATAATGACTGCCTGCACAGGAATAACTTTTATAGCCAAAAACAGGCACAAATTGAGCTCGTCTAAGAGTCGCATAAAACAAGCAGCAGCCATGATGCAGGAGCTTGGACAGCAGCGCAACTTCATGCGACTATGATAATGTACAGGAAATTTTCGGTGTCTTGGTCTCAAAGAGAAAAAAAGCTCCTATAAATGAGGACAGCTTCTCTTTCCACACTCAGCGCATTCGGGTCGTGAGGCAACTCCGGCCGACATCAAAGACCGTCATGCTACATATATATGACAAATGAAAGAGCAAAAGACAAGAGAAGTAGCAGGAGACGACAGTAGAAAATGTTACAAATCCGTTCCCAGAAGAAAAATTGGCGAAGAAAAATGACAAGAGAGACATGTTTGTCGCGCAACACAGACGGTCGAGACACGATTAAGGAAATCTGCCCACGAGGGCTCACATTTTGTCGAAAGCGCAAAGAACTTTTTTTGCAGCAATAGATGACGGAGTAGAAGGAGTTGGTATCATGGACAAATCAACGCAACGATGAGTCGGGCAAGCCCGTACAGTGCAGTTGTGGTGCTAAGAGGCAAAACAAGCAAGCAGTGCAAAGGCAGCAGATGCGAGGGTTCTGACTGAAATTACATCTGGTGGAACATACCGACTTCATCTCCTCCACCTGGGGCACTCCCGTCATGAGCCCCAGCGTGATGATGCAAAGGCTGCCCCATGCTGCCCATCCCAGGCTTGCCCATGGGTGGCGCCCCATGTCCCATGGGAGCGGGTGCCGCTGGCATCCCTGATGGCCCGCCGGGTCCAGGAAGATGAGATGCACCTGGGTGAGGCGTGGGTGTTCCCTGAACCTGCTTGCGATTGTTCATCTTCGCCATACGGCGAACTCGTCGACTTCGAAGGCGCGGGTCCTGGTTGCTATTTCGCCAGCTATCAACTGCTCTTTGGATTAAGCCTCGCTTGCCACGCAACGGGGGGTTGAGCTGCGCCAAAGCCCACCCAACACGGTTGCAGTCAGTCTCGTACATTAACCGATTTCCACGGTACTGGTCCTTGGGACAACAAGCTCGAGGGTAGACGCAATTCTCCTGTTTAAATTCGGGAGACAGCTCGTCCGTGTTGACTGACTCAACGTCACATCGAATGGTGTATTCCATCTTGACCCGGTCTCGCGAGTATTCAAACGCAATCCACTGAACGCCATTGCCGTCCTGTCTCACAACCAGCGGAGTAGTCGCGGGAATGGGCCCCGGTGCAGCATTAGGATTGACGCCCGGCGCAGCATTTCCGGGGCTTTGTAACTGCGGTGCGTTTGACTGATGCTGGGCCTGTGGCATGGGTGAAGTCTGTGCCTGCTTCTGGAGCTGAACGGGAACCTGCGGTTCAATCTTTGGTCTGGGGCTTCCCGTCATGCCGGCCTGCGCGTGCTGGGCTGCGTGCTGCGTCATCTGGTTCTGGGGAGCTGAGTGCGACATCATCATGTTGGGCTGAGATGTCATGGATTGCTGCGGATGATGAGGATGTTGTGCGTGTTGTGCGTAAGGCGACGCACTGGGATGGTGAGGCATTGGCTGGTAATGCGACTGCGGTTGGTAGTACATGGACTGCTGAAGATGCTGCGACGGCGGCTGGCCGTACAGACTTCTGTGCTGATCATGTTGCGAGGGGGATGCCACAGATGCTGGGGAGTTGGATTGCGGCGTATGATATGACATTGGGGGGTAGGGAGGTCGAGGCATTTGGGCGGCGGCCATCATGTCGGGAGTGTCTATACATTTCAGGCGGGCTCATGTCAGTCTTGTGCGTGAATGCGATATAGTTTGTGGCTTTGTTGTTGGTTGTTTTCTGGCGATAGAGTCCAGTGAAGCAAAAATGTGCAGGAAATATGCAAGCAACGTACCGGCGGAAGTGTATCCGCTGTTAGCACCTGGGGTGCTGTAGGGACTCGGATGGCTGTAGTAACCCAGGTTGTCTTGAGTGCCGGCTGTCTGGCTGCCGGCTTGATAGGCTTGTGGTAGGGAGTGAGTCGACGAGTACGCACTCTGTTGGTGTTGCGGCGGCGGCGGCAGCGAGTGGTGGCCTTGGTGCTGGCCTTGGTGCTGCGCGTGGGCTTGAGGGTGAGGTTGCTGATGAACTATGCTCGACGGTCGTGAATGATGCAGTTGGGAAGAAGGCGGACCCTGTTGCTGGTGGTGGGGATGATGCTGCATAGAGGCAATACCAATCAGTAAGACATCGACAGGAAAGGATTACTTGAACTGAACAGGTGAAGAAAACAAGCTCAGGTCGGGCGCGGTGGTGTTTTATTGCCCCCTGGCTGGTGTCATGGTCTGGGGAGAGCTGTGGTGGAGTGGGCCGATGTCCCCTGGTAGGCAGACTGGGATAGAACGGGTGAGGCGTGCCAGGCCCAGAGGGACAATGCTGATAAAGCAACCCTGCCTGTCCTTGGCCGGCTTGGAACCAAGTCTTGGTGGCAACGGGAGCCGGTGAAGAGATACAGCCGTCTTGACGAACCGCTAACTTTAACGGCGCGCCGACGCAGGCAATTGGGCCGTTGTATCATGGACATGTACAGCATATACACCCAAGAACCCCCAAAAATATGGCGGCAAATATGAAGGAAACGAACGCGACACACAAGACCTCAACCTGGCCTTTGATGCGCAAAACGGTGTTGGGGCAAAACAGGAAATGTAGACAAAAAGAGCGCGCCGCGTAGCAGGACGGGCCGTGGGAATAGGGATATAGCAGGAGTATGGGCTGACCATGTATGTACTGCCGCCTTCTTTTCTTGTTTGGTTCTGTGCAAATCCGCCTGCTTCAGCGAGTACAATTCCAGCGTGCCAACGGAAAATGCGACGGCGGGAGGATGGTTATGCAGCGCGAGGCCGTCAAGCAGCGACAATGTGGTGTTGCAAAAAGCAAGAAAGGCGCCCTGATATGTCACGTCAAGGATCGAGTGATGCAGGCTTCAGAGCTACCCAAGCACTCCGTCCCGACCAGTCCAGGGAAAGAAGAGAAAAAGAAGGATCGCAGGGACCAGAACTGGAGAGAAAAAGCTCCAGTCAAGAACGAAGACAAGTAGGTCCCATATGCCTTTTTTGACTTGGGCAGCCGGGGCCAGAATGACTAGGGGGGGTGGCGTGCGCTGAGATTGCTCGGGGGCGCGACCAAGGGGTCGAAGGAGGGTGGCGGGATAACGAGAGCTTTGCGACTAGGAATGGCCAGCGCATGGAAGAAACGTGACAGGGGTTGCAGCTTTTGATTAAATGACCAATAAACGGGGCAGCCGGGGAGTCAGGGAGCGCTATCCAGAGGCCGTCCAGACGACATGCAAAGGGCCAGCTGCCCAATAGGGCATTGCAGAACTGGGGCTAAAGAGCGGGCCAAGATTCAGCCGGGATTGGCTTTGGCTGCTTTGACTGGCTGCTTGGACCAGCTCCTGACTGGTGCAAGCTTGGCTTCCTTCTTGACGACCTGCCTGTGGTGCTGCTGCGTGCTGCTGCGTGCTGCTGCGGCGTGTTGTTGTGTGTGCAGGGGGGGTGCTCCGTGTGCGTGGTCTTGCCTTGCCTTGCCTCGCCTCGCCTTGCCTTGATTCGCTTTGCTTTGCTTGGATTTGATTTGCGTTGCCTTGTTTTTTTTTTTTTTTGCCTCGCCCTTTGCCCTCTGGCTGTAGTAGTGGTAGTGGTGGTGGTAGTGGTGGTAGTAGAGGTGCTGTGGTGCTGGTGGCGTTGTCATCTATCGTCTCTCGTGCTCCTTCAATGTGAGCAGCGCAGCGCTCAATTTGGCTGCCACATTAACGCCGCCGCGTTGCGCTGCGCTGCTCTCTTCGCAAACGAGTGTGTGTGTTGGCCCACGAGCGGTGTGGGTGGCAGCACCACCCGAGAGCTATGCAGGCAAACAACATGCCGCCATGCTCTGCACACCACACCACCTATCCACACCTGTGCATTGCTTAGCTGGTTGAGAGGTTAAAAAGACGTTGGCGTCGTTGGCGTCGTTGGCGTAGATGGCGCTGTCGCTGGCTCTGGGACTTGGAAGGGGGAGGGGACAAGCCGTTCCCACAGATCCAGCCAAAGCCATGTCCCGTTGCCGCCCCTTGTTCATTACCACCACAAGAAGCGCTGACTACTCCTGGCAGAGCCCTTGATGTCGATAGAATCGACAAGGACTAGGACCATGGGAGGCCCTGCCCGCACGCGTGGGTTCCAGCAGACAGGTTGCAACGGTCAACATTCCCAGAGAGCCTGCGTGCGCTTGCAGAGGCAGTTCTCTTGCCTGGTCTTGCCTGGCCCTGGACGGGACGTTTCTTCTCATCGGCCGAAATCTGGGGGGGCTAGCCCTATTCACAATTCTCGTGTCCTCTGCAAACGCCTTGTCGCCAATAGATTGCAAATCTCCCGCTGCCGGCACCGCTCTCACCCGCCGCCCATCGTCTCTTTCGTGTCTTTGTGCAAAGGCGTCCTGTGCACTCCGATGGTGCTGATTACGCCGGGTGCGCGACGCAGCGCCATGACTGGCAAGACAATTGATCCAGAAACTGACTGATAATGATCCACTCGGCGCACCTCGCCCTTTTCGACAGCCACCGCCATTGTCCCACGACCCACTGGCTGTAAACGTTGATGCGCGACTGGACGTGGGTGGGAACGTAATAGGGCGTTGGACGACAGTGATCCAATCTCCACCAACTGTAGTCATATCCGCGTCGTTGCCCACCGTGGAAAAATAAGCGCGTTGTGCCAATCTAGTCGTGGCCGTTGCCTCATAAGCCAAGCTCGTTGACCGGCCCACACCATTTCGTCTGTGTCTGATGGAACTTTCTTCGCACTTTCCCATTGTCGGCAAATCCTCAAGGCCGTGCTGCTGGCGCCTCCTTCATGTCAAGCCGCCCATGCCTTGGCGCCAAACAGACGAAACTACCGCCACAGGGCCGAGTGGAAAGGTGCTAGGGCATTCGCAAAGAAAAACAAGGGGCATAAAAGAAACACGCGGTTCCAGGTGCAGCGGCTTTGGCAGGCAACTGAAGCAGCGTATCAACGGCGCCGAGGGAGCAGAGCAATTGGCAATGGATGAATATGCAAATGACGGAGCTTGTGGGAAGGCTGGCGTGCTATGCGTCAGCCCTCTCCCAGTTTTCGTCCTGTTCGCTGTTCTGTATGTATGTACAATACCATACATACAGTACCACAACCAGAGAACCCCGTACAGCAGAGTCGTGGCTGGGCACACCCCTCCCCGGTCCAAGGTGGTCACCCTAGTCAGTAGTGAAACAGGAGATGTCCTGCCGAACCCATCATTGAGTCCTGAGCCGGTCAACCTTGCGACTAGACTCATTGGGTGCATGGAACTCTCAATAAATCTCAAAAGCCTAAAGAAAGAAACTTTCGATTGTGGCTGTTCGTTCGTTGTTTCGCTCCAGCTGTTGCGAAATCACGAGTGTGCGTCACTTGAGTTGCTCGTGCAGGAATAGAATGAGAGAGGGTGTTTCGTAGCTGCAGTTATCGTTGGGGGCCGGAAACTTTCCACACCAGCTGTGGGAGTATGGTGTTCACCGAGCGAGACATGTAGCATTGAACAAGGTCGACCACTTGGCCGGCCAATATAACATGTGAGATGCAAATGAGGAAATTTACTTACAGCATCAGAAACCGGTTCGTCCTTAAAATGACCGCGAACTTGCGGATGTGAAGCCATTGTGACCGTCATAGAAGGGGGTGGATATGATGCTATGCACATGTCAGTTCGACGTTGATCTCAGTCATGTCATTTGACACTTCGGTGGTTGCAGGCAAGCCCGCGTAGTTAAGTTGTCCGTCATGTGAGCAACAATTGCGTGGCGGCGATTTGAGGCAAGAAACACGCCAGACACCAGCTTTCCGCTCCAGGATTTTTGAGCACGTCCAATAACCGGGACAATCATGCCGACGTTGGGCAATTTGTTGAAGACAAACTTACGAGTGGGTAAATATTAAGTCTTGACAGCACAGACGTTGGGCCGCGAGCTGCGCGAAAAGCTACAGCTCGTGTGCAAATCTGCCCTGAATCAGGACCCGAATTTGAAGCCGAGACCACCTTCGTAGCATGCTGTTAGCAATATCTCTAAGAGAGAAATAATTTCAATTGTCAATAACAAATGGTGAAGTTCTCTGAATATTGTACTGAAGCTCAAGATGTCGCAAATAAACACACGCAGTCTGATTCCATGCGGCAGCAAACAGCATAGGTAATATCAATGCCGCCTCCGAGGGCTATGGATTTGATCGTGCCGTAAAAGATGGAATATATCTTTGGGTCCGAAGCACAGTGTTGTTGGAAAGCGCTTGTAACATTGGCGCGCATACACGTACCTGTAGGCTGTCCTGAAGCTCTGATGCCAGGAATCAAGAGATGGGATGCGGTCAAAGAGTTGGTCTCGTGAGAGAAGACAGGGTTCTGCCTGTTTGTCAAACCCTTCGCCACGTGTGCGGGTGCAGATGGGATGTAAGAGCTGGATCCGCACGAAGACTAAACGTTGTCTGCCTTTACATCGTTTTAGCCCAGTGACTGGAGACAATTCCAAATGGGCTGGAGAAGCATTAAGGGTAGACGGAGAGTGAAGGGGGAAAAGACAAGAAGCAGCGGACACTTGACGAACGCGTCCTTGTGCCGATCAATCACAACACACCACCACAACGGTTGAATGTGCTGCAGAGCAACTGTGAGTTCATGCACGTCGCCCTCGAGTCCGCGGGTGCTACTCCGTAACTCGGCACAAAATGTGGGAAACAAACATGTACATACCTTTGGCGGGGCTGGCCGATACCGAGAGTCGGGCAATCGTGTCTGGCCAGAAATATATCCAGAGAAACGGAGGAAAACGATTCCTTTCAATGCCAGCAAACGGTCTAATCAGACAAAGAATGTTAGTCTGAAGTGCATGTGTGTGGAGGGATATCCATTGAGTGACGACAGGGGTGGCGCAATGCCAATATGTGAAGGGTAGTATCTCGTGCCTGGACCAGGGTAGAAGCAGCCCAAGGAGCAGAAGAGAGCAGTGGCCGCCATCGGAGTCTGCACCGACATGCCATACATGTTACTGAAAGCCTCTCCAAGCCTTCACGCCTTGGAAGCAACGGGTCGACGATTCCGACAAATCGGCACCAGCCCCAAGCTCGACGCCGAGGCGGATAGGACAAGGGTCTGGTCGGTTGTGGTGCAAGGGTGGGGGGCTAAGAATAATAACGGATAGTTTGTCTCTGAGCTCGACCTCGGACAACGTCCTAAATGAAGAGCTCGCAGCCATGGCCGCACAAAATTGCGGCGCGCAGAGCGAGGACTGCAGACTGCAGACTGCAGATTGCAGATTGCAGACCGCAGACCGCAGACCGCAGAGCAACGTGCAGCATGCACAACAGCGACTCGGGTCCACCGTACGCCTGCACTCGCATCGCCAGCGTCTGCGGCTGTTTGTAGCCAGAGATGCCATGCAACTGCAACGGCGCAACCGTGGGCGGCGTGGCATCGTCCTGCGCCGGACCGTTCTGTGGCATTCGGTACTTGGAGCTCTGCAGAGCCATTGCGCGCCAAAACAGCACCAGACCGGATACCAGCCATGACGTCCAAGCGACTGGAGAACACGAAAGGGGCGGGGGGTTGATAATTGAGCTTACCGCTTCTGGAGACTGTTAGGTTTGACCGTCGAGCCGGTTGAGCTTGGCAACTTCTGTGATGCAGGGGTGGAGACGTTGACTGTTAGTGGTGTCAGCGGCCAAAAACAGCACTAAACATTTGGACCGGTTGACCAGTCGACCCTAACAATGACGGGCGGCTGGGGCAGGCACACCAGACCTCAAGGAGACACCAATGTTTGGCCAAGCTTGGAGCAACTGGAACCCTGCCTTGCCTGCGGCCCAAGGGGAGGGCTCCCGTACCTGACAAGCCCACGACGCTTTTCCAGGCGTTTGGGTAACTGCCTAGGTAGTGGGGAGACCAGGAAGCGACCCGCTGGCGCAATGTATGCAGTATGTAGTATGTATGTGGCCGTGGCAAAAAGTAACTGCACGATCCCTAGGTTTTGGGTCGAAGAGCCTGGAATATCGTCGTCCAAACCGAGCGCGTTGTATAAGTCGAATGCGGTCAAAGTATCATCGAGTGCCAACGTGTTGATGGTCGCGTATGGTCAAAGATCCAACACTGGGGGAAGGACGGAGTGTTGGGTGATGGGCAACCACACAAATTGGTGGCGCTCCAGCTCGTTCTTGGTTCACGAGCTCGCAGGTGTCAATGCCGTTGGTGCGCCGAGTAACCAGACAAAGGACGAAAATGGTTGACAGCAACTAGCAGCCGTGGCCAGACGCTACTTCGTACAGGTCTTTGGGAATGCTGTTGAGGAAGAGTTGAGGCCGACGTGACGAGGGTGACCTTGCCAATGTCCCAAAAAATTAAGAAACAATGCCACAGTCTGCAACGAAAAAGCCGACCTGTGGGGAGGAACGCGAGCTGCTGGCGGGCTACCTGGGTGCTCTGCGGTGGCTTCGCCGTTCCAAGAGCGTTGATTGTTGTCGCGATGAATACACACCGACAGGGCTGCTTAATCGAGGTTCACGGCACGCGTTTGACAGCCTCGGTGTGTCGAGTCTGATCGCAAGTTTTGGAAGAAGACAAAAATGGCAGAGAAAAGATAGCGTGGCAGACAAAGGTGCAGGGATGAGTCGGGCTTAGGAAGGGGGTCAGTCTACAATGGATAATGACTTGCCTTGGCTCTGACTTAGCCGCACTTGACTTGAGCAATTTGGATTTGGCACTCCGTATCCGCATCTCGATTCTCCAACACCCATCTATCCATCACTTGCCAGTATGATGCAGAGGCATCAAGGCGCCCAAATTCGTCATTCGCATCTAGTACTAGGGGGCCTAGGGGCTCAAGGCTCAGGCACAAGGCTCCACGTTCAAGGCTCAACATTACAACTCGTCGTCTGCTATTACCCAGAGTCAGCCCCGGTCAGTCCCCCTCCCGAATCGTCTGTGTGCCTTTTCATCAAGACCCAGACGAGACATCTCTTTCGGGTAATTGGGTCCAAGTTATTTGAGGACGTGGGGATGAAGAGGCGTAGTCGCGTACGACAGAAGGGACGCAGTGCCGAAACGCCACGGTGTCGGAAAGGTCTGGTTTTTGATTCATCTTTGCCAACACTGACGTGTACATTTTACATCCGTACTTCGCGTCTTCGTCCTCATCCACGCACCTACCAGCACGTGCTAGCCCGTTCACGCGTCTCTGGCGACAAACACAATCGGCGAGGTGATAAGATATCGACATTCTTGCGGGCCAACAGTACATCACATGTACATGTACATCCATCCATGTCGGCCGGGGCCATGCAGGTGGAAACGGAATTACCCATCGACGATGGGCAGGGGTTGCCCATCACAATCTGTGCAAACCCACAGGCATCTATTGATCATGGCGCAACATCTGGCCGTGCAAGCCGTGGTCGTAGAGCCATCGACGCATGGCATGGAGAAGACATGACAAGGTACGGAGTATCATGGCAAGCTCACAACCACCAATGTCAGAGCGCAGTCTCGAATTAGCCTGCAACTTCAAGTACTCCGTATATTCTTAGCAATGTGCGGCCGAGATCAGCCAGCAGCAACAAACGTTTGATGGCGTGGGTGGCGCCGGTCGCTTGACTCAGCACAACGGGATCCAGGCACTTCAAGAGACTCTTTTGCACATTTGGGGACTAGGCGCTCGCCGAGATTCACCTAGTTGGGAGTCGGTATAGTTGGCATTTGGGAGTTGGGAGCCCAGCGCCATATTGCGCTGGGGGCATTTGAGAGCAGCAGATATTGGTACCCTACCGTGTAAATGGAGAACGGAGTGCCGTCGGTCGGAACCACATTTCCGCGGGAAGCGTAATTGTGCGTACTTTGCTGTATTGTGCGGAGGAGATACTAAGGATACGTGGTAAACTTTACGAGTCGGCATCTCTTCCTCTTTCGAGTGCAAGCGATTGAGTAACTATCCCGTCCTACGGCGCCTGCCAGGCGCTGATTAACGATTGATGATCAGCCAACGCCCCATTCCGGAGCAGGGACGATAGCGCTCGCATTATTACGGAGAGTTTTACGGAGTAGGATGGAGTTCAACTGGCAGACTTCATAAACCCACAGTCGCTGAGTCACGAGAATTGGGAACTGCTTAGCTCCATGAGGCAAGTGGCGCCATTTCTCCGGGGTTTAAGACTATCACGGAATTACGGGACATGCAGTCTATGCACGGGGTATGGCAGGATGTACTGCGAACTCCTCAAAGTTCCGCATCATACGGAGTACTCGTCTGTAGAAAAAATTTTCTCCTTCTTCAGCCGATAGCACATGAATTAATTCGACCCAAAGGGAGGGGCATGAAAGGAGAATGCTAATGCTGGACCCGCACTCATGAGCATGTCTCCATTCTTTATCGCAGCTGGCCAATGGGCCGGCGGCCGACACGCGGTGCTCATTTACGACTCGTATAGTAGGCGTGCCTGCCGTCCTTGTCTCCGCTCCGCACTAGTTGCCTGAGGCGTTTGAGCCAGCAAGACGTCAAAGGAGGAGCACTTGAGCGTTTCGAGCAAAAGTTAAAAGTTCTTGTTCCTGGTCCTGTCCTGTTCCTGTCCATGGTCCCCGCAAAGAACGCCGTTGCGCAGTCCGACAGACGCATCTTTAGAACCGCTGCCGTTGTCCACACTTGGGCTAGTTTCCATCGTCAATACAGCCAGGGTTGCATGCATCAACCACGTCGACTGTCGCGCATCTTCGTCTGTCAGATGGTCCCCCGTTCCCGCGACCAGGGCCGGGGACAACCGCCACTGTCGAGCACAGGGGGGCAGGGTCGTGCTTCATCCACAGTCTTATTCTAAGGCGGAGGGGCTGGTCGGGTGGCTGGTGGGCAAGCGAGTTGGCCAGGCATGGCCAAAAAGCCTTGACACCTATTCACCCACACCGCCTAACGCTAATCCAGGACAGCACGAGGCATAAGCCGCGTACACGTGGAGTCGCAGGTTGTCGAAATGTCGAAATGCTATGGGCCTTCGGGCGGAGTGGCATGGCATGGGTACAGGCACCGGAGCCACCGACGAACAAAGAACGACAAAGGTACTGCTCCTGAAAGAAACAGAGCAGAGCTACTCCGTACTCGATATAATTTCAGACGCGACCATTTCAGCGTCATGGCAGGGCCGATTCAGGTATATTCCTATTGAACGATATGCCTGTAGCCCCTTTCTTGGGCAGCCTGTCAAGTGGGCATCCTTCATATAGGGTAGGTTTTCCCTCTCTGCTGGTTGCTCGCTTCGAGTATTTTGATTGTCCATAAAACCAGCCCATCTCTAAATATTGGCTTTTCCTCTTTGTTCTTTACTCTAGGGGCCCCGTGGAAGTAATTGCCTTCCCTTATACGTTCTGGCGGGAACATCCATTATAAGGATGGGATTTCTCACTGACAAATTGATCAAACTAGATGGGAAGCCGGCTGCCCGTGTCCGAGTAACCTGTGGCTCGGCATCAATGTCATAATGCGAGCTGCACCGTCTGCCGGTGTTGATGCGGTCGCCATTACTGTTTATTTTCTGCCCCAATCACCCCGCAATTGTGTTCGAGAGGTCGTTGGGGTACCGATGTAGGCCATGGAAATGGTCACACAACGGGATGGTCCCTTGGGTTGCTCAACTGACATGCCTGCGATGCAAGGTCGACTCCCTTGACGCACGTTCGGGGGGCGGCCCGCGTGTAGGGCTGACGAACTAGAAGCACATGCCGAGTGAAGACATTCCAACACCATGTTCGACGCGGGTGCCCTGGTCCCTGGGCGCCTTGCGTTGCGCACCTGTTATCGACATGGCATCCCCACCGTTCCAGAAGAGTTTAAAGTCGCAATGGGATGTGAGCTACTGGCGCACATGCGTGCGGAGAGCAAAGCAGCCCGGCAGGCAAGGATATCGTGTAACATCATCCCCCGTCACCAGTGGACGGAGTTGCACCCTTGTCATGTTCGGAATCAGTCAAGGCCAGCGAGCCGGGGCCCAAGTTTTGCCTAGGGGCCCGGCAGTGTTCCACAGCAGTGGAAGCCCAAGATCCTGCCAGCCTGCCCACACAAAATGCCTGATGAGTGCGGGAGTATGGAGAGCAGAGCATCTACATATTATATCCCCTCATATATACAGACATCACAGATAACTCGGTAACGGAGGTAATCAAAGGATAAGAATCGCAAATACGGATATCGAGTATTCACCATATGACACTCCATACTTCTCTGTCTAGTGCCTTGCCATGGGCAGCTCTGGTCTGCAACGGTAGTCATTCCCTACCTCTTTTGAAAAGACAACATACAGATTGGGAGAAAAGAGCCAACTTGTTGCCTCTGTACAATGATAGCACGAACACCCGAAGCCTAGGTCAAAGCAATTGTGACGGTCAGACATAATGCTACATGCCCCATCGCACACTACATTAAGCTAGGCACTAAAGTCTATTTTGATTTAAGATGTGACGACCGGAGATAATTAGGTGGATCTGGGCTTGAAGCACA